ATGCAGCAGAAAGTTAGTAAATAGTCATCATAAACTCCAGCTTCTTCTGTGGACTCAGCCAATAACCATCATGCCTGGGTGGTGGCAAGAAGATTATTTTCATTTTCTCTATGTGACAAATTCCTCTGTTATCCAGATTAAATGAAATAAAGCACTTCACTGCATCTGGTGTCATAAAGTTATTCTATTACCCCCTTCTAGTCCAGATGAGGCAATCAGAAATAAGCACTTTTCCCTTACAGCTGCTGCTGCTGCTTCTTTTGATCAAAATTGCTCTGTGTTCTTAGTGACTGTAAATCTGAAGGAGGAAGTGTTTTTAGGAGGTGGAATAGACATGCATTACCCTCTTTGGTAAGCATTCAAGGCTTTCTGTGCTCTGGGGATTGCAAAAAAAAACCCAACAAACCCCTCCGCATATTTCAATATCTCAGATGTTGTTCTTTAATAAAGGGATTTTCCACAGCAAGATCTCCAAGCATATCATGGATAGTAGTTAGCCCAAATGAATTCATAATTAAAGAGTTCAAACAAAGCAAAACACAGGATTTTTTAAGACTCTTAATAGATCTCACATTACTAGGCTGTTACCAGCCCAATCCAGAAGGGAATGAATAATACTTAAACCATTAAGCCAGCAGGGTTTTTGAGGAAATGGAAAGCATCTATCCTATCTAAGAAATCAATTCCACAGAAATTGTTCTATTGTCAAACAGTCTGGGAAAACAACTCCATTACTTTGTGGGAGTTTTTTTTAAGCTACAAGGGTTTAATCAAGAAAACTTTATTTTAAACTGTGTAGTGTTATGTATGTTATTTCAACATTCAGATAGGGTATATGCAGGGCAAATGCTGGCACAGAGGCTGAATTCTTAGACTAGTCCATGCGTACTTCTAAATAACTGGTAGCCATGATTCTTTCTTCTCACAACCTGCTGCAATAGCAGCTCAAGCTATTTATCTGGATCTCTGTCATCCTGGAACAGCAAGGATTCTGGGTACATGCTATGGCTGAATGAAGGTAGAATCACAATTTGGCAGCAAATCCAGGTGGCAACTTGGAAAGAGGAAGATGAGGAGACTTAGCGCTCCATATAGCCTCATGGGTTCATAGGGGGTAGCTTGGGCTTCAGAAAGTGCCAACTCAGAAGGAAATTTTAGAATACTTTGCCATCTTTCTGGTTTATCACAGGAGATACACTTCACCAAATATCCCTTATCATGAACAATGACTTTGTCTGAAGTATTTCAGATCAAGCAGGAGATTAACCCAAGGCAGAAAAGGGCAACACTTGAGGCTGTGTACTGACAGGAACCGAGGTAGATGCTATATTCCACAGAGACATGTGAAGCAGAACTTTTTCCACAGAGTCCAAGTTGGGAAAAAATGTGTTTTTTTGTGACATCAGACCTGATGATCTCCCTGATCCCAAGAATTTAATTGTTACAAATTTCCTTATAAGCCTGTAGGATCAGGTGTGCTTCACATCTTTGCCATGTGCCTATATTGGCTTTCCCAGCTATTAACTGGTCACTAGAATATTGTTTTTCTGCATATGGCTCTTGGGATGCCAACTCTACAATCAGTCCGTACAGATCTGTTACATCTTACCAGTTTTCAGACATCCTAGGACAGTGTGGAGGGAGCTGAATATTTGTAAATAGGTCCTACTTCTACCAGTTTCACATCTGCCATACCACTGGTTGAAGAATAGATGGTTATTATTCCATTATCTTTAACTCAAACTATGATATAGTAATATGCAAACAGAATATTTGAAAGAGATAACACAGGTAAAGATTCTTATAAAAAAGGTAAGCTTTTAAGAAAATACCAGGTATTTTGTAGCAAAATAGAACCTATGAAATGTCTCTGATTTGAACAGGTTGAATGCTTTTTCTCTTGTCCCATTTTCTTCATCTTCATTTTGTACACCTTATAGAGTTTGTTCATTGTATATAGTAGCTGCAGAGTAAATGAGAATTTCCATTGCCATTGACCGTCTCCTGGAGGAAAATTGTCGGACTCTAAAATTCTTTTTATTCTATAACAATCCACCCCACTCCCAAGAAATAGAACCTCTTAAGAATTGTTTAGCTATGGATTTTGTTTTAATATCATATTGTCAATTTGAAAATCATGCTGTTGCTTTTTACTCTTATGGTTTTACAGATAGCTTCTAGTGATTAGATCTATTTCATAATGGGTCCTGTGTCTAGAATGCCAAGGAGTTTCCTGCCCCGTGCTTTTCAGGGGGCAGAGTTAAGGCTGTAACTTCCTTTCCATGCTGTTCCAGAAACTAGAAAATTTCTACTTGTTTCTACTCCAACACTGTTTGGGATTAGGTACTGTAAAAATGTGTATGATGGCACGGTTCAGAAATTATGGAATGGTTTTGTGGATAGTTATATCATAAAAGGAAAATACTCAGTCCGTAGTCAGTTTTCACTGTTGCTTGTTGGGGTCTTCTTAGGTAGAGCAGAAGAGGAAAAACACTTGTTGAAAATGGTAGTGTAATTACAAGAAAGAAACATCGATGTGAAGACTTGGGGGAGGTAGACCAGAAACTATGTTTATCTTGTTCAAAGCATTTACTAGATTTTAGGATTATGGTGACTATGTGTCAATTGTGGCTAATAAACATGGTAAACTGGACATAAATGGAGTTGTGTATATGTGTTTTGTTACATCTGATATGGATACATCCTTTTCTTCATGGAGATATGTGCAGATTATGTAAAGAAAGAATACAAGATGTAAACCTTGGACATTGAAGGAATAAGGCAAAAATGATTATGTTGTCTATGTGTAACATGGACTATACTGTAAGACTGATTCTGTGTACTGGAAAAACATAGACACCTGTAGCTGAGGAATTTTTACATTTGCTATGTTATTTTCAAAGAGTGTAAAACAAATATTTTTAACAATTCACATGACTTTAATAAAAAAAAGTCAAAATCCTGAAAGGAAGTTTTTTCATAATAATCAACACAATTACGATTCAGAGACAACAATTACAATTCTATAACGTCAAATTATAAATTAATTAATCATTCTGCAAATTGCACTGTTAAAAGTCTATTTTGAGACAGCATAATATTATGTGAAGGCTACTTCTTTTTTATCCTCAAAATAGCTCCAAGTTTTGCACCTATGTTAGTATTAATGATCTGTAGTTAAATGACTTTGCCTTTTGGGAAACTGGGCTAATAATTAGCACATAATTAATGGTAACATCTGCACAAAAGTTGTTTTGGGGAAAGCATAAAGGAGGACTGATGACATCAGAAACATAGAAGGTGACAATTTCTTTCTTAGTGAGCTGTTGCATATCTACAAGGACCTAACTTGTCCCCTTGTTATTTCAATTATCATTATTAGTAGTAGTGTTGTTAGGATTATATTGTACTTTAGTTATTAAAATATTCTTATCTCAGCCCATGGGTTTTACATTCTTTGATTCTCCTTCCCATCCTGCCCACGGATGGGGGTGGAAGGGTGAGTGAGTGGCTGCGTGGGACTTAGTTACCAGCTAAGCAACCATGACAATCCTGGAGATGCTACTACGGTAACAGTCAGAGGCATACATCAGGCACAAGTTTTCCCATTTGATTTTGTGAGGCAGCAAATGAGAAGGTAGGCAGTGGTTTATCTAAGGACAATACTGCTGAAGGCAGCAGATGAAGGCAAAGTGTAATAAAAATCCTGTCATATTGTACTCCAGTCTCCAGCCCAGGGGCATCCCTTGCTGTTTTAGGCAGGCATACTGCTGTATGCTTTGTAGAAGAAAACTAAATCATGTCCCAGTGGCCAAATACAAATGAAAGACTAGAACTGAAGTTTTCTTCTTGGATAGGGAAAAAGGATGGCCTCTGAGTTGGCTTCAGGTACCTGCTGTCTACACATGCCTTTCAGAAGTACAAATAGAGAAAACAGGAATTTGCTGAAAGCAAGAGATGGCTGGGGTAGTAAAAAGTTCATGGCACATCTGCTTTCTTTCCTATGACTTGACTGTGGAAGTACAAGCTGGCTGCTGCATCTGTGGGAGGATTTCTTGGGTATTGGCAATTATGGGGAACATTGCTGGGACACATGATCCCACACATGAAAATTAGGAAAGTATAGGGTAATCTGTGAAATATACGTATGTAGAAGATGTTACCTTATATATCTTAAAACATGTATTTGAAAATGCTTTGTCTTCATAGACTTTATATTTTACCCTGATTTTGCAGGTGAAAGAAGAGAGGTTTGGAGCAATTCAAATATAATTTTTCCCTTTTTTTTTTCTTTTTTCTTTTTTCTTTTTTGGTCAGAACATCTAAAGAGCAAAGGAAACAGAGGGTTTCTCAGATGAGCCAGAGGAGGAAGAGTTGTCATCATTCTTCTTTTGCCAAATAGCTCACAGGGTAAGGAATGCTTTGAAGATATTTTCTCCTACAAAGATGATGTAACCAGCAAGCTGAAGTAGGCTGACCAGATTACAAACAAACAGCTCTGAGGAACTGAGGTTGGGGCTTCTGGAGGGTAGGTGTGGTGTGATACCTCCCAGCAGGTAATGCTGGAGAGATTACTCTCCTGCACTGACTTGCTTAACCTTTCTCAGTCATCTGCCATTGTTGAGAATGACACCTCCCAGGATTTACAGGTTTGGGTTATAAAGATGGAAAAGGGGAAAATGCCCTAGTCTGAACATACTAAGAGTGTATGCAAAGCAACCAACCCCCTGTGGGGCACCTTTTGGACAAGGCTGGATAGGGTTCAGCTGGGGAGGGGGGGACCAGGTGCTCCCCATCTCCATTCATAGCTTTCAGGTGTAAGCCACTGTGGGAGGCTGAGCTCTGAGGAGAAGGTTGGTGTGTTCGTCAGGGGAGGTTTGTTGGGTTTATATTTTTGCTTGGTTTACTTCCCTGGTGATTCCTGTGGAGTGGTGGAAAAGTGTCTTTCCTTGTACCACTAAACTGAATTAAGAATCTGTACCTAAAACTCGCTGCAGCGACAGCGCAAGAAGGGACTCAAGTGTGGCCTAAACTTTGGTGTTGCTGTGTGTTTCTGAAGTTCAGGTACTGTCCTTTTATGTCTGTGTGAATTATTTGGGCCTTTCCAGTGTTTGGATAGAACAGGGAGGGGAAGTTAGCCAGACATTACATTTTTGTTTCTCTTCTAACCCCATGTTTTGTCATATTCTAAACGATTGACTGGAAGGAGTTTAAAGAGGATGCATTAATATTTAACTGTGCTGCAATAAATAATTAGTGTTTTTAAAGTTTTCTTCCATTCAGACTGGTCTGGAGCTCTCCAGCCTAGTTTATTTTTGATTATAGAAATTCGTTTCAGTTAAATCATTCCTTTATCAGCAGGATCTGCCCACATTTGGTTAGACTAAATAGCTCTAGAAACCACAGTATTTTTTCCAATTGCTTTGAATCAAAGTTGCATTAAGGAAAAAAAGCTTTTGCTGAGATTGGGCTGGTTCTCATTAATACAGAAAAAAAATCTATTAAGGAGTGTTTAATGTGTACCTGTGATGCTGTGTTACTTAATACATTGGCTAAAATACTGAATTAATACTTATTCTAGGTGAGAAAAAAATGACATTAATATGTGTGACTGTATCTGTGATGTATATGGTAGACTTAATTCAGGAATCCACCACTGAAAAGTTATTTATAAAGATTTCAAGTTCACTTATCTTTATGGACTTCTGCTTCAGCGGAAATAATGCTTGTCGTAGTGCTGAAGCTCTGTGGTTGATGTTCATAAAGAGGAAAACTTGAAATGGAAAGCATTGGCGGGAACTTGATTTCAAATAATGCATAATATTCTATATTGATAGATACAGACCTCTTTGATTACTCCTTTTAATTTAGATTTCAGGTTGGGAAAATGGGTAAGAATCTTAATGCTACATATTTCATGTTGAGACTTCATATTTTGCGCTCCCTGGCTCTGCCTTGGGTTAGAGACAAATTCTAGCCTCTTGTAAAACAGACCTGTATCATGTTGGCCAACTATATTACTGTGTAAGAAATATAATGTGCCATTTTCTCCCTGGTAGTTTTAGCGTTTCTAAGTGATGCTCAGTTCAGGTGTAGGAAGCAGAATTTCCTCTCTTTAAGGAAATGAATTGGAGTATGGGAATGTTTCTTGTGCCCACCAGGACACAAAGGGTGTGTTGTGATTTTTCTGGGAGTCTATTGAAACAGTGTCTTTTCACAGGTGAGCCAGATCTGAGTCTAAATAGATGGCTGCTACATGAGCAAACATGGAACCTGGAGAGCATTGCTCTTCAGTTTTTCTGCTTTGTTAAAGAGATCGGAATGGCTAATCCTTAGTTTTAATGTAAACATAACTCTGTTTTGTTTGCACAATGTTCGTGTGAGTTTCAGAACCTCTGTCCGTATTACTGCATATTAGAACTCTGACTCATTTTGTTCCCTGTACACACTTCCCTAAATGAAACATCTGCATCCAGATTTGCATCTGAAACTCAGTGGATCGAAGTCACAAATTTGAACCCTAAAACCATATATGTGTATATATATAAGCACATGCAAGTTTGTGTATATATGAATTCATGTAGTTCTATTTAGGTGCATACAGTTCTCAGACTGTAGGAGGAAACCCCAGGCATGGTCTACATCTTCAGCTAGAGTTGGCTATGTCCGGTTACAATCAGAGAAACACTTATAGCTCATGACATGTCTAAACAGTACAATTAAAACTGGTTAATACATACACAGCAATAATTCTACAGCAGAGTAGGCTTTAGCTACTGAATATACACTGGGGTTTTGTCAGTTTGCTGTACCATTGTACCTTTGCTATCCTGTTTAGAGTGGAGCTGGCTGCTTCAGGTACAACTAAACCACATCTGTCACAGCCTGCTGTTGACATATTGTTTTGAAATTTTGATGTTATAAACTATTAATATTGTATTAATCCTCACAACACTGAAGAGTGGGCTCATCTTTGAGATTCCTTGCTTTTAATAGTCTGTGTTCCATCCCCTCCCACCCCATTTGATCTGCCTTCCAGATGTGTGCTCTTCCTCTGTCTCACGAATATATGTTACTATGTGATCCACCTCGAAGATACTAGCTCTCACTCTTGTGGTGCTGACCTTCTCCTTCATCTCTCTCCATCACACAGTCCTTTAGTGCCAGCATGTATGTCATCTGTTTCGTATGTGTCAACCATGTGGAAATCACCTGAAGTACTCTAGGATTAAGTGCTTTAAACAAAAGGGATCAGTTGCTTTCTTTGATGCTGTTTGTTGCTCCTCATAATCAATGATCTCCTGTCTATGAAAATATTCTTCTAGGGCAGTTTTGAATGAATTCTAATTATGGAGTTAGCTGGAAATAATCTGATATTATCTTAGACCATCTTCCTTCCTTGCATTTTTTTTATCTCTGCTCTCAAACAGGGTTTGTCTAGAACCAAACGTGCTCAAAGGGGTGGAAAAACATATTAATACATGTTAAAATAAAGATAAAAGCAACTAAACATGGGAAGTTTGGCCAAAATATTTCCAAGACAGACCATGACGCTTGGTATTTGTTACATGGAAATTCCAGAGTGGGTGAAGAACTTGGACTCAGAAAAAATGGGACCATAACTGGGAACAGTGGAACTGAAAAATCTGAGACAAGGTATCTGGGAAAAAAAAAGGATATCCCAATGATGAAGTATATTATATTGTGGAATAGTTTCTCTTGATTAGACTGTTTCAAGTGAGGTTTTCCTTTAAAAAAAAAAAGTTTTAAAAATAGAATGTATATGGGAGAAATCTAGCACAGCTGGGGATATGTTGGTCTGCTTTCCAAACTGCTCTGGAACTTTATAGTATGTTTACAAAATGAACAATTGAATAAAATGTTGTTGCTGTGATTTGATCACTGAATTTGCAGTTTTTTAGGAGCTCCAGATTGCATCAAGCCTGCATAATCTTCAGGCACAGCCAGCCTTTACTGTGCAAGTGATGTGACTTACACAGAGATACCTGGATTGGGTCTGAATAAAGTAGCTTTATACTGGAAATGCTGTATCTACATGTGCACTGCAACCTGCTGTCCAGGCTAACACAGCCTGCCTCCCTGGGTGTTCCAGTTAACTCAGGCAGTTTTACATTTGTGTGGGTATGCTGATGGGCTAACCAAGATAGGTCAGGAATATGTGCATTCATTTGCATGAATCAGTAGCCTAAACTGATGCTTTGAGTTACACCAACTTATGATGGCTGCTTGTTAACATGATCTGATTTGATAAACCAGTAGGTGAATTGAAAGAAAGTTAGTTGATAGAAGATGTTTTCAGTCTGATAAGAGGCCTTCTCCTCCTTCAATTTCATACCCTGCATCTGAAAAGATATTTGTGTCCTCCCTCTAAAATACTTTAACATCCCTTTCCTTAGGCCGCATACTGGTCTTCTTTTAAGCACTTGTAGGTATAGTTTCACATGCATGTGGACAGAACTTTCTTGAAAGCGCTGAAGGAAAAAAAAATCATAAAGTTTAAATTTCTGTTTTTCAGAAAGCTATAACAGGGGTCCAATTGTGGAGCTTTATAGAGAGAAAAAGGTGATTGCCTTTATCCAGAATACCCTATACCTTTTATGTCTTGTTTAAAGCCCTTTCTTTTATATTGCTGGTATGTTATTTTTATTCTGTCAAGGTTCAAGTACTGAAAAAAAGACCTGTTTTATTTTGTGTCTCAAATAAGATACTTAAACCAACAAGAAGCAGCTTTATCCTGATATTCTTTGCATACAACCGGTCTTTTTGCCATGCTTTTAGATGTATAGTTGAGCAAAGTTCTCATTTGTTGTGAAAGCAGTTTGGTCCCACTGTTCAGTATTGCTTGCCATCATTCTCACAGTGAATATGCAGTTATTGATATATATGTCATTGCTTTGCAAGTCTAATACATGAGAGTTCACTAATTATACATATTCAATTGCTAAAACTGCCCATGTTAATGTTCAGAACATTCGCTCCAATCTTTTAGCTAGGAACACTTATTCAATATTTGCTTTGATGTTATTGGGAAAGGTGAGCCTAAACCATGATATACATCAAGAATAATATGCTAACATAATCTCTACAAAAGACTTGGCTTTTCTGAAAAGCTCAGCACTTCACGTGTATTAACCCTGGATCTTGATGCTGAAGTGAGAGCTAGTTTTTGCATTTTAACAAAAAAGGTTTATTTTCATTAAAGGAAAAAAAAAAACAAAAACAACAACTTTTTAGTAGTTTAATAGCAACCTGCAGTTAAACATCAGTAGTATCATCTTTCTGAAGATTTGGATCAGGAAAACAAAAGACAAATAACTAGCTGTCATGGCAATAATAGGATTGACTTTTATAGTAAGGAAAAAAACAGTTTCTGAGCCCACATTCTGTGGGTTATATTTCTCTCTCACAGGCATAACTGTCATGCTACATACTGTAAGTAGTCCAACCTCACTAACAAACCAGGTTTTGGGATTGATCTAGGAGTTCCTTCTCCGGTGTCATGTACAATAGGAACGGTGGAGTAAAGCCCACTAATCTCCAGCTGAAATTGGCATCATTTCATCAAAAATCCTTTTATTTTCCTTTGGACCCCCATGAAAGTCAAGTTTATAGAATGATGATCTTCAGGAAGGAGCTAGAGCTCATTTGCTATTTGGACAGTACAAAACCTTTCATAATAGGTTGACATTATTCATTGTGCAGCAAAACGGAACTGGTGTAAAACTGCTCTTTTATAAATACTTCAGTTGTTTGTTACCACAAGAAGTGGAGATTAACTTACAAATTGTTCGTCTTTCCTATTCAGAATTCCAGAACTGCTAGTCCACTTGTCTCTAGCTACTGTGTGCAATTACTGTGCAGGCTGCCAGGAAAAGAAATACAATGAAATAGTGTCCTTCAATTAAAAATGACAGATCAAATGGAAAGTATTACTAAGAAAATATTTCCCAGCCATTCTTCTTCAGAATATACATGCATAATTAGAAACAAAACCAGAGACATCTTCTCTGTTGCCTGTTGTAGGGCATAGTTATTTGAAACAAGCTCAAACAAGAAAGAATCCTTACAAAATTTAGCCCACTGTTATGAAATGTAAAGCAGCAAGCCTGAAACTTTTTGGTTCCTAAAGTTTTATTAATTAACATGCAGCCTTAAATGTGTTTATGCTCCAAACCATGCCTAGATATATTAAAGTGCTGTTTTTCATACTTGTTTTAGAGGATGAAGAGGCGCAGAGAGGCCGTAAGAGACTAGGAGAGCAGTGAATGAGACCAAAGCAGTTCCAAGGGTGGTATCTCAGAGGCATATCAGTTTAACTCCTTGGCTGTCTCCTTTTTCTCCCTATAGGAGAGACAGCACAGGTGACATGGGACTCAGGTACCCTACTCTTAGGTAAAGCTGCAGATTTGTGTAATCCATATCTAACTTGAAAAATGAACCTGTGGTGTATGGACTAATGGGCCTGTTTCTTTTAGGATAGTATAGCCCTGTGAATAGGTAGCAGTGTTACATGTGGTGTCTTAGGGTAGGTGTTTCCAGAAACTCTCTTGGTATACCTTGTCTTCCGTAGTATTCATTGGTAGCTCTGATAATCAGGAGGCACTATGGAACGCCTAAAATGAACTCTGAATGTTATGCACAATAAATTGTAAATACCAAATTCAGCTTTCATAGGCTGCTCTGGAGTCATATTAAGGCTTCTTTATTCAAAGGGAAGGAAGGTTAAAGGATTGTAGCACAGTGATACAAAGGCTATTCAGCTTCAGAGCCAGGAGAAAACCTTTTCTGCTTCTTGGATTCTCTTCTAGACATTGCTTCATCTTGCAGAAAATCTAGCAGTGTTTGTCTGTGCCCTTCGAATACAATTGTCTAAAACACGGACTAAAGGAACGAAGCAAAGACTTTATGTCTGTAAGATGAAAATCAGGAGTGTAAACTTTTGCTGCTGTAGCCATTGACTCGGGCTGTTCTTCTCCCTGCCCCACATGCTTTCATCTTTCATCTCATTCCAACTTTCAGGGTGGTGGTCTGTCCTCTTCCTTCTGGTTCCCTCCTCTCTGCTGGAACTGAAGCTGTAGCAGAAAAAAGAGCTTGAGTACTCAATGGGAGGGATCTTGAATTTGTACAAAGGACTTGTTCCCTTTTTCAATATGTTCTTTCTTATTGTAGTTGCCTACTTCAAAACTTTTCAACATGAATGCAGACAGTATTGGGATGACATTTTTGTTCTATGGTTGCATATATGAAACTTTGTGTATTTGGTATTATACACGGTACAGAGCCTGAGTGAAAGCCATGGAAGTAGTGCTTCAGGTAATTTAAGTCTGCTGGTGCTCTGTGGGAAGTTTTGGAAAGATAGATGGCCAATTCATATATTTCACATCTCTAAAAGCTAGAGCTCAGCACGTCGTTCCTACCATCACACTTAGCTCGTTTCTCCTTGTGGATTTTCTCTGATCAGAGTGTGATTTGCTTGATTTTTTTTAATTTTAAAATTAAGCAAATTACCTTTTTTTTTTTTTTGTTGGATAGCTTTGGGCAATTATATGAGCCTAAAAACCAATCCCATAGGTAGAAAATGTAACCAAGAACATTTATGAAGATAAAAATTTCTATCTGTGAATACCCACGTGCAACATAAAATGGAACGGAAAATGAAATCAAAACAGTGCCCACATGAGGTTTTATAAGATCTTACCAGAATCTTGTCTTCTGTAGTTTGACTGAATCACTCCTCCTTTGTTTAGAACATCTGGTCTCTGATGAAAGACTGTAGATCCACTTTGCTGTTCAAAGTACAGCACTTTTATCAGGGCCACTGGCAATTGAAACTAGAAATGATTCATCAGAAGATTTTCAGCAAAATAAAGGCATTACAATGGCCTAACTCCAACAGTTTTCATTGTCCTCGAAGCTGCTGTTTCACTCCATTCTTTTTTTTTTTAAAGAGCATTCTATTTGCAAATATGACACTTGAAGGTTCAGAAGTGACACCTCTCTTATGAAGAATGTCTCTACTTTTCCATTAACAAATGTTATATTATCTTCAGAAGCTAAGAAAACATGTGTGCACTTCTCTGAGTGTAGGGAGTCAGTCAAACACACTTATCTGATGTTTTCCTCTTCTTTATCTCTTTATTGCTCACAAAACTTGGTGGTTCTGTTTGGTCATTGCAACAGTAATTGTTCAGCAATTGAACTGGGGATTGTTTATCTTGAGCATGGCTGGGTTGTTTATAATTACTTCAGGGAGTCTTGTTGAAAGTGCTGTGGGTTTTCTAGTCTTGTCATGATTCTGGGAGCAGTCCTGTGAATTGGCTGCAGATGCCCAAGGACTCCCGCTAGAGCTCTTCAGAGCCAGGATTGCTCCTTGGCTGTTAGGCTCTGCACACAAAAGGCTTACTGGGTAGGAAGGTTTGACTGGTGGCAGCAGAACCACTTTGTTCAGTAGTCTTGCAGGTATTGAAGTATGGTGTGTTTGAGGAAAATATGATGGGGGGTTCTAACTGGGAAATGTCAACGATGAATTAGTTGCCATCATGGAAACATGGCGATGTGCACAACTGAAGTGCTGCAATGGATGGCCATAAACTCTTCAAAAGGGATAGACAAGGAAAGAGAGGTGGTGGGTTAGCCCTGCTTGTTAGGTAGTGTTTTCATTGTCTAGTGCTTACTGATGGTGATGATAGGGTTGAGTGTTTATGGGAAAGAATAGGGGGAAGGCCAACAAGGAAGATACAGTGGCAGGATGCTTAAAAAAGTGGGATAATTAAGGATTGTAGGAATTGGGACAAATAATGACAGAAAACTATAAAGGAAATGTAAAACAATGTAAAAAGCTTGGTAGTTTGTACTACATTAGGTGGCTTGTGCTGATTTGCATTTTGGTTTGAATGGCTGGTATTTGACATGTGCTACAGGAATTATTCTACCAGCATATTTCTACAAGGAATTTTTATTATATACAAAACATGTATCAGGGTTAAAAAACAAACAAAAAAGGAAAATAAAAATCTTTTTTTGTTTCCCTGGCCACAGATAAGGCAGGCAACTGAAGACCTGTAGCATATGAAAAAACCCTAATTTACTATTTTCTTGTTATTTGTGGCTTGCTGGTCTTTTGTATTATATAATGTGGCCAAAAAAGAACAAAGCCTGGCACCACCAATCATCTGTGTTGCTGCACAGAATTCATTAGCTGAAAATGTTCAGATCATTTAAAAAATTTATTAGTCTTGGTCATTCTGTCAACAGTGAAGGGCTGTGAAACAGCTCTTTCTGCAAGAAAGGTCTTGTGAAGATCCTTCCATGTGAAGATTGAATGAAAGAGATGGAACTGGAAATGCTTATCTAAGGATAATCGTATCTTTAACTGTGTTGTCTTTGTCCAGCATAGCAGCGTTTGGCCACAGACAACTGCACACTTTAGCTGTTTTACAATAAGCTGAAGGGAGGCAGTACAGTAGCTGGGAAGCAGACCAATAGGAATACACGTTTAGCCATTGAATGCTTTATGAAGCAGTCAACTCTGGTGTTTTACAGTGACATTTTTGTTTTGGCAGGAAAAGGAAACAACACCTGGAAACCAAGTGATTGAGGGTGGTGAGCTCTCTCTTTTTTTTTCCTAATCTTTTTGTCTATAATTACAGCTTTTCTTTGCCTTTTTGCTTCTTTGACATGAGGTTTGCATTGCAAATTGATTTTAAATCGGTTTCATAAAGGGTATCATTCCGGATAGGAGCCACCTCCACCAGATTTACATCTATTAGGCTTAACCTCTGGGGTTTCCTAGCAGGGTCGGGCGCACAGTTTTGGTAAATCGCGTAACAAAAGAGCAGTCCAGGCTGTGCTAAATATTAAATGCATGATCAGCTGAAAGATCCACATGGAGATCAGGTTGAAAGTAGAAAAGGCAAGAATGTGGCTTGATTGTACAAACTATTCAGGCCTGCTTTCCCAACTATGTGAAGTGCAATGGATTTGGCTTTTCCTGTCAGATGCTGTCATCCATTTTCCTGCTAAAAGAGCTTGAATGTTGGTATTTGGCATCCCTTGGCACAGAGTTTGACATGCTGAAGGTATTTCTTTAATTCTGGCAGAGGAAGACTGCTTAGGCAAAGAGTTTCAGAAATAATTTGGGGTGTTACTCTGTTTTTGGAGAATCTTGTTTGGCAAACTGGGTTTGATGCTAGTTTGAGGGAGGGGTGTGGATGTTCAGGTTGTTTTCCTCGCTTGGTTTCTCATGCATGCTTTAAGCATCTCAGAGTAAACACTTTTCAATAACTTGGCACCTTTTGAAAGTTATGACTTAAAATAGTCTTTTCTGATGGATTGGTTCTATTGTTACATTAACACATAGGTTTATGTTCGCACTAACCATGCTATGTATGTATAAATTTTGGATCCTCAGTAACATTTGTTCCTTGGTAGTATCACAGGGCTGCTGTTCTCAAAAACAGTATGGTGCCTTTTTAGACCCGAAACACTAGAGACAAATAAGTGAGCTCTCTAGGGGCACCACCTGGGTCCCTCGAGAATTTGTTTAGTTGTTCAACAGAGCTCTGTACTGCAGCATCATTCTTAGAAGAGGTTCTCCCCCCTACAGATCTGGCCCTGAAGTCAGTGGGAAATTTGCCTCAGGAAGAAAATACAGGGTTGTATACCTATATGCTTCATATTTCAATAATTTTCAAGCCTCAGGTTCTCCCTGATACCTTGTGCTGTCCTGCTCTTTGTATTGCAATACTAAGTACCTCTGTTAGGGAATAATTTTTGTTGTTGTTCTGATAAGGCACCAAGACTTTTTTCCTGCCACTTTTAATGTGTGAAATTACTATTCCTATGTTTCGTAAGAGGAAATGTAGTGACAGTATGGCATGCTTTATGGATTGCTAATATTTATTGAAATATCCATATTTTAGGGAAGTTTGTCTAATGGTACAAAAAGCTGATCTTTTTTTACAAAAGAAATCCTGACAATCTTTTACTTTTAAGATACCTGAAAATTCTGTGATAATTTATTAGAGATGGACCTGCAAGTCACAATCTTGTGTGTATTCCTAAGTGTTATAGAAATTATAAGCTGATTTTTGGGTTTTGCTTCTCAGGCCCACATCTGGTCAAACGTACCAGAAAAAATTATTCTAAAGCTAAACCTTATGATTTGTTCAGATTTAAGTTCTGAAATAAATGGCTTTATTTTGGACAGAACAGCGTCTGTAGCAACATTTCATTGAAATAAAACTGCTTAGTTAGTCTCCAATAATGAGGAACGACGAGGGGAGATATAAGCAAGCAAGAAGTTAGGGGAAAGGCAGAAACAGGACATGGCACAAGAAGCAGCAGTCACTGGACATCACAAGCCTAGTTGGGTGAGCTCTAGGAAAAAATAGAAAACTGAGCCTTTACTGATATTTCCATTGTTATGGAATTTCCATATTAATTTCCAAAAAGCTTGATAAAATGAACCAAAAAGATCACCAGTGTATCTTGTAAACCTAAACCTGTTGTCTTGCCTAATTTTATGGGTTTAGATTACTCCAGATTGTTATTGAGTAGCCCATGTAAAATTGAATGTGCCATGTCTAGGCATTTATCAAACTGAATGCATTCTCTTCAGCTTATCTCCTTGGGCACCTTAGGCTTGTTTTTCTTACCTTTATATTTCTTCAGTAGTTTCATTTATTAATTTGTAGAATAGCTTACCTGTAGGTCAGATGACTAACCATTTCACGTAGAACATATGAGGTAGAATCTGTTTTTAGCAGTCTACCCAAGTAATGTGTTTCTAAAAGTTCTCACTGTTAATCTTATTCTATATCATTGAGATCTTTGGGGTCCAAACCAGCATTTGTACTATTCTGAAGTGTAGCTGTTTGAGGTTTTAATTTTTGCTAAGTTCAATAGCATTTATGTCTCTCTGAATTCCACCAGTTGGCTATTTGCTTTTCTTCTGTGCATCTTCCCCATAGTTTTTCAGAGAGCTCACAATTCTTCTGGTAGATCAGGAACTTACCAGGCACTTCATCCTGCACAGAGTTTAGAAAATTCTCATGTATTGTGTCTGTTCTAATTATGCAAAATTCTGGTGCACTGTCTTGACTGCAGTTGCAAAAATTAGATGCAAACAATAAGTTTATTTCAGTTTATGAAAACATATTAAAATAGCATGTGTGGTTTTCTGAGTGATTCCTAAAAATCACTCTATAAAGTTCCGGCTCCAGTCAGAATTGATACATCCTTTGCAAAATTTTTCTGGCTCCAACCAGCTGGTGTTTTGTGAGAACTGGTGTTAGCAGCTGGAATGAGACAGAAAGACCCTTCACTTTCTTCTAAGCTTTTCCTCAAACGTTTGTAGAGCTAGCTGTTGCAATAGCACACATGTGGTTACTTCATAGTCACCAAATTCAACCCAGAAGTCTCATTGATCACCACCTATGAACATAGCCGGGAGTGCAATGTAGGGCTCATTTTGATCTCTGTACAAGGCATTTATTGCACGGTGGTCCACGACTCTGGGGAGCAGTCTCGGCAGTCGTTCCTTCTGTTTCTGTTTTCTGAACTCTACAAACATATCCTTATTTTACACCTCCTAGATATTAGATCAGAACCCCTTTTCGAAGGAGTTCTGTCAGGTAACAACAGCTGAGGAACAATTGCGTCTTTTACTGGATTTCACGTCATTCACCTTTTTCCATTGAATATATGAGTCTGTGTTTTTCCTATATCTTTGAACATGCAACTTCAGCTGACTGCATTTTACATAATTTATTAGCCTGATTCTTTGTTTGGTTGCCCTGTTGCAAGGGTCTACAAACACAATGGCAATGGCTCCTGAGGAATTTCTTTGACGACGGAATAATTCCCGAATGACACCAAGCCATTCTCTTTCATCCCTCAAGTGCTCCTAAGTCTGTGTGTTTCCAGCAAAAAAGGAACGTAGTTCTATTACTTTTGTGAATCAGCTCTTCTGTTTTCTGGAGCAACATTGTTCCATAGGAAATTTCTGCTTTTAATCAGAAATTTCTGCTTTTAATCAGAAATTTGCAACCTAGACATAGAAGAGGATTAAATGAATGTCCTTCCCTTTCCATGTATACCTCCTAATAGATTTATATTCAATATAGTAAGCAGAAATTATATTCTTTCAAAAGAATTTGCTGATAGAGATCAGCAGGCAGAGTGTAGTGGTACCATATAGACTGATAAAAAATAACTTCTGAAGAGATGAAGAAAACCTGAAACATAAATTCGGGCATGAATGAATTAAAGAATCTGAGAAAATACTGAGTACTTCCTGTTCTCCAGAGAAGTATAATATGATATAGCTGCATTCAATATGCCTTGATTGTCAAGGTGTCACTACAGACTGCTTAGTGTGCAGCTGTGTTTGAAAATATAAGCTGTACACTAGAATGTATAAGGGCGAAGGATCATATGGAAAATATTAAATGCTTCTATAGAAATCTACTATGCTGTATCATTTAGGATAATGCTTTGTGCTAGTTATTGTGTGGAAAGTTACTCATGTAAATAAAAGAAATGAAAATGAAAAGGCTGACATTCTCTTAGACGAGAGGGAAAGAGCTGCAATAGAGTAAATGAAAAAAAAGGTTTCGGAGAAGGTAGGGCACCCAGGGCACATTAATGACATTTCAAGGATGTAAATTCAAAACTGATAAAAAGAAATACCAACAGAATGTATGTCTGGACTAGGAACTCAACCATAGTAAGTCATGGAAGGCAGGAGTTGAGGAAGGTTAAAAAATAATGGTATGTTTTGTATAGATAAAAAAGAAAATAGAATTATCTGAACTGATTTTGGTAAGTGTAGAAGTTCTATTCCCTGTTCCAGAGATTATTTACAGTTTCGTATGAAATAGTAAAAGGATGAAAAGGTCCTGAGAACATGAACCTTGACTGGGAAACAGCACTGCTATCTATAAACCCAGGTATTGTTTTTCTTTTTGTATGCCAACCTCCTGAATGCATTCTTCACTACACAGAGGTCCAACTTCAAAAAAAGATGGTTGGATGGTACTTTCTCTGCCGGTGGTTCCCAATTTAGGTGTTACAGCGCTTTACTGGGAGGTGGAAAGCGTCGGTTTGAATTCTCTAGCCTAATGAATGGATTTAAGGAAAATTTCACCACTCTTCTGGTAACTGCCGTAACCTCTGCTCTTTTACAGTAGGCAAATAACACTTCTCTTTTATAGAAATTGTTTTTTAAACTATTAAATTCTCTAAACCAGTATATTTAGGTTTTGTGGATGAAAGGCCCTTATACTCTTGATTCAGATGTCTGAGTGCAGGAGAGGAAATAAAAAATTTAGAGTGTAAACAATCTGTCCTGCATAGCTCCTGCATAACGGTTTGGGTTCTGTCTTAGGGATGAGAAAGCAAGGAACAAATGCTGCAGTGTACTACATGTGTGTGTCCAGACCCTTTTTCTGAGCTTATCCATCCTGTGGGCAGACAGTTATCACATAGGTACTTTCCTCAAGCCTTTGGACCGCTCTGCTCTTTCAGGTACTTGTAACTGTAAATGCTAGGATGTGGATTTGCTGTATTTTGGGATTTTCATTCCAAAGACACCTGCAATATAACTGAATGTGCTGCAATATAAGTGAATTTAAAATTTTGATGTTCATATATTATGACACTAAAACTAAATTTTAGCATTTTTCAGTAACATGGAAACACAAAAGCAATTATAGAGCTGGATCAGGCAGTTGCTTTATAGGCTTCTTTCATCATGGCCAAGGCAACAGTGAAAAGAAAATGAATTAAGATTCTGTCTTCTTGTTGCTTTTTCTTAGAAGATTTTTTTTCAGTTAGATTTAAGCTATGTAAATTATAACACCTGTCTGTAAAATACTTCCAGTCGAACACATCAATTTACACCAGTTTTTTATATAACCACCTTCCTTCATGAACTGATAATTTTCTCATATAACAGTATTCCTTAATGGCCAGGGTTGTACTTTAAGCACAAATACAGAGATGGAGAACAAAAAAGAATTGATTAAATAGCAATGTGGATAAAATAAAAGCTCCATGTGGGAGTTTGCACATTCCTACAGCCTCAGGGCTGCAGTATACATTTCTGTCAACGCTGTTTATGTGAAAAATAGCATTGACATAGTGTAATTGGTACAACAGTGTAGCAGTTGTATGATCACACAATCTTAGAACCACAATCCTGTGAAAAATGAAATGCAAACCTGAAGATATTTTATTTGGATAATTCTTTTGCACATTATGCATCAAATTCTTTTGTATAGACTTGTATGTCTATCTGTGCTCACCCAAGATTAGCCATGTGTTGTCAGCCTCTGTTCTTTGTCTGGTAAAGAGCGCATTGTAGGTTCACCAAAAGCAGCATGGGAGAGCTTCAGTCCAAGATTTGTAGTCAGATTTCAGAGTTTCTAATTGTTCACCAGCTCAGCAGGAAATCAAGTGAGGGGAAAAAAACATGCCAAAATTTTACTGTTTAGTACAGAACATCTAGACAGTAATGCTTACTTTTTTGATGAGCTGATTATCCACTTCGTTTTGGCTTTGTTTTTTAAATTTAAATATTATTGAAGAAAGTGGTATGTTACAAGATGGGAAAAGTGGAGCAGGGATTGACCAACAGTCCTCAGTCTCCCCTAAAAATACCCAAGTTGGCTGTTTTGCACTTTTTGTCTGTATTCCATTTTTTCATCCATTTCAGTGCTTGCTTTCATTTTTAATAAGTACTATTATTTTTTTTTTTGCATTGACACTTCAGATTATTGAGTAGGCATCAAAGCAGAAATCTCAATGATGTAAAATGATATAAAAACTTGGCAGACCAAAAGAATGTTGACAATCAGAAAATCATTTATTTTCAGGAGGAGGAAGAGCAAGAGTTATTTAGCAATTTATTTTTATTGTTCTTACCTTTTTGAACAACCAGCTCTAGCTGGTTCCTAAAAGGAATCAGTTTGTTTATAAACAACAAGACACGGAACTTACAAAGTTGTAGGTGTAAATAGTTCATAACTGGTGCTCACCATTTGCTCTTCTCATTTATTTTTAATCATTACTTCAAAATGTGGATTATGACGTGTAGTTTACAACTCCAAACCTATGATTCCCAGTCTTTCCTCCTTCAGTTATTCTTTCAACACCAAAAGAAGTGGTAGTGGAATATATGGTCTTTATTATTCAGAGCATATTTCTTTGTCTACCTTATGTTCCTTATAAAACATTTAATCTGTTTTACACTTCACTCTCCACTCTTTCATTAATCTTTATAAAAGTGGGCTCTGCCCCAAATAGTTTTCCCACTGTTACAGAAAATATATGGCTTTTTTTTTTTTTTCCCTGGGTGTCTCCTCTAAGAGTTAAAAAATAAGAATATCCCATTTCTACAAATTTGTATTTTTAGAGGATACTTTTGAAAAGCACAGAAATTTTTGTTTGAGTCTGCTTTTGCTGAAATTTGTAGACTGTCGCTACTGAAACACCCTAGAGATGGTGAGTGCAATATTAATGCAAATTTGACATTTGCATTAATGAGAGCCCATGTGATTCTTAACTGGCAATAAGGGATGTATGTGCTGCTCTGTTTTTTTTTAATGGTATTACTTACAGACACCTGTGTACCACTACCTACATACTGCTATTTTTGGCTCAATTCTGTTCCACCAATTTCAGTCATTATTTGGCCAGGTATCAAGAGATTAATGAGACAGTTAAAATGTATTTGACAAACAGCCTTATTTTCACCTATAGGAAGCACATGGACCATACAGCATTGTCCATACATTATTAATAGTATTTAGAAGTGGCAGGCACCTTATAGTTACAATATATTGTAAATGCTGGAAATATGTTTTTAATTTACAATAATTTATTACATTAAAAATACATATTTCTTCCACATGCGTATCTGAGGAGTTGAATGGACACTGTGTACATTGGGATTCATCACTGTCCACGTTCCAGTGTCACAACCAGGCACGTGTGCCTGATTTGGCTGTTTCCTGTAGCTATACTATGCTGAAGCAATGCGAGGTGCATATATATCTAATTTGGTGTTGCACTGGCATTAACACAGATGTGTACCTGCAGACATGTATCTCTTCCTACTTAGGAGACCATTGTGTATCCTACCTTAAAAACATTCTGCTTGTATATATTTGTCTACTTGCACACAGCCTCATTTTTCATTGCTCCTTTGGAATCTGGTACTTAGTATTTTTTGCTTAAAGACCATAAAAATGTTCCCTTGCTCTGTAAAATGAAGGAAGGAGCTGAAAAGGCATAATACGTCAATTTACCCTAAGCCTTTCAAAAGTTTCATCACGAGAAAGGGGGCCCATTTGTGGTAAACAAAATATGCAAATGTCGCCCTTATTCAGCTTGTGGTCTATTTAAGCACATAAAAAAACAAGTTTTTATGAATTCATTCCTTGTTTTCAAGTTGCTGAGAGATCATTTCAACCAAAGGCTTTTGGCTTATAAGTCGTTGGCAAATAATTTATTTAATTTGTCTTTAACTATTCATTATTTATGAATTGGTGTTAATGCATGCCCACATGGATAAAGCTTTCATAAACTTTGGGAGGGAAATTAATGGCATTTCCCAAGGCAAAATATAGATGCATTTCTGGTCTGAACTTTCTCCCATGCAGGTATTTATGATTTTGATACCATTGCAGAGCCTGTGCGTAGTTAATACGTCCTTGTTGGCTTCGTGGAGTAATGAGACTTCTGAATTTTTTTAAAAATCTCTTTCAAATGTGCTTCCGATGCTGCTGACCAGGCTTCACCACTTTCCTTGCAGACCAGGGATAACTTGTGGAAGTTAGTTGTTAAGATGGAAATAGCTTGTGACAATGGGCTGAGAAAGCCAGGGATTTTTCTTCCTATCTGCAGGCAGGAGGTTTGAAGTAGTGGAAAATTAATAAAGGCAGAACAAAGAGGCCAGATGTTGTAAGAGGGACTAGGGGAGATACAAAAAAAATACCTTTAGCAGGAGGAGAGATGATACAGGCATACTTATATGGTGGGAGGTAGCTTTGTTGACCAAAGTCAAAGACAGTGAGCTAAATTGGGCTGAAATAATCTGTTTCTGAGAATAAATCCCAAAGTATTTGGGGTGGTTTCACATCCTCTAGAGACTTTCTCAAAAATACTTCATCATGGTAAGTAAAGATAAACGGGGTTTGAATCCTGTGTGAAGCTAGTTGTACGTCTGGCTGGTTATACATGTAATATCCTCCAGAGAACTGAATGGCCCAGAGGAAAATTATTCAGATTCTCCTGCAGGCACAGAGCTCTGGAATAAATTTTGCTAAAATTATGAGGTTATTTTACAGACCTTTCTCAGATAAGACCTCTGAAGAGAATCCATGCTGCAGAAATAGTTGTCACTTAATGAGGGCTAGAGGTTTGCTTGATATTTTTCCATAAGTTTAGCTTTGCCATACTGCTTAATATCACAAATACATTTCTAGGTGTTCCATTCATTCGTTCCTTCATCCTTCCTAGTCTGAAACTCTTATTATGGAGAACATCACTTTGAATGCGTGTTGTGTCCACAGGAGTTAGAGGAAGGCTTGCAGTATTTAGAGGAGCCTCTCAAAGCCTAGGTACTCTTCCAGCCTTATGTCTTTAATGCCTTTTTCTTTTTTTTGGTAAGGAATTCAAGTGTCAGCTTCCATTGTAATTGCTGCTGTTCATACGTGCAAAATGTTCATATTGAGCTATTTATGTTGTGACTATGAAGTCATAATTCTGTGAGCTTGTGAGCTCTGCTTTTGTCAGAATACGGAGGATTCAGCTTGTGCTTCTCCCCAGAGGTACTGAACTTTCTTTGGCTTTCTGTACTTTTCTTTAACAGTTAATACCTAGTCAAATTCTTTATTTAGTTTCTCTGGTCAACCTCCCTTGCATGTCTTTTATGGGACTTCTTGTTGGCTAAAGAAAATGTAGTTATATGACCAGTTTTTGACCTGTTTTAGTTTCTTTGGAAGCTGTGTGTAGCCTGGTGATCTGTCTAACACCATGTAGGTTGTAGCATTGTCAATTCCGCATTACTTTCTTATAGAAAAATGCTTACATTCAGAACATAGCAAGAGATCAGCACAGTATAACTAAGATCTTTCACCTCCAGCCCAAGCTGGCAACAGGGCTAGAACTGCAGAAGAGACTGTTTTTAAACTATTGCCTGCCTAATCAACTTGAAACTCCTTCATGACTGAATTTCAGATAATTCTTTAGGGATGAAAATGTAGTTTTGGAATTGCAAGAAGATAATGTCAGTTCTAGGTCCTGCAAGATCTTACAAGATATTTTACTTTGACATATTAAACTAATGCTATCAGAGTAATCCATGTCTATAGAGCAAAACTTTTCATCATGTAGATAAAATTTGCTTCCAGGATTAACCTGTGACTTTTTATTTTTAGAAATTTCTAAAGGAAGGTGGCTTCAGAAACTTCTGAGATTAACTCATAAAAATTTTCACATCAATAACAGCTGTGAGAATGCTCAATGAAGACTAAAAGACCAATAAAATGGCGTGTCTTTACCATCTCTTGAATATAATCACTACTGTATTTAGCAATTGAATGAATCTGGGCTAAATCATTCTCTCCTAAAGTTGTGGCATCCATGGAACTGCTGTGTATTTATACAAATCAGAACATGAAAACAGTTTTTGCCAGCTGATATTAATGTGTACAGCTGTAGAAAACTAATGCATTGAACTGTGTGAATGCTCTACTTTTTACACGTGAGAAAGCTGTTTTCTAATCAATGAATGATTTTCTGATATAACTTGCAGAAGATGCAGATTTTTTCAGGCATCTCTTTGGGCCTTGATATGAAAAAGAAAAGGTACTTCTAAGGGCTACTCACTTTTTATAACGATTGCATATACTTACTATGTGATACTTTTCTTTATCATAAACAATACATCCTGACACTAATCTTATGTGTTCAACTATTTAATATTCTAACCACAGTAAAAAGGTTTCTGTCACTTTAAAGGAAGCCTGGAAAAATATTTCAGTTTGCAAGACTGTTTTCAAATCTTCATTTTCTTTCAAAAGGCAGAGGTAGATAAGAGCTTCTAGTTTAACTGCTTCTGTCCAGTTGCTTTATTATTTCCTTCAAAGTAGTGCTTTTCTGTTTGTGAAGTCCAAAGAGTATTGAGGAACACAAGATACCCTAAGGGCCAGTGAGCAGCAAAAGCTGACCATTCAATTCAAACAGCTGGGAAAGCCAGATTTTTTAGGAAAGGATTAGTTTCTTTCCTGTCTTGAGGAGTTTGAGTGTTTTTAAAAGAGCAATGGAAAATGCACTCTTTAGAAGAGCTCTAAATCAACATAGTTTGTATATTTTTATGATGCTTGCTCAAACTTCATCAGCCTTCTGGTAACCAACATCTAGCTGTTTCAGTCTCGCATCCCTGACAGACCCCTGGTAACATACTGCCTACTTTGCACTGTTTTATGGGGTCAGTTACAGAACGCTTCTACAACATGCCATAGAAATACGAGTTGATTAAAATACTACTTGCTGATAATTTGTGGGGGCAGGGATGGGAGAAAATGCAAGGTTAGTAGTTTTGTGCTTTTCCAAAATTATGAAAAATAAAAAGGCCATAGTTCAAAGAACATTCAGTAGACTTAGAATGTAAGCTTGCAGTGTTTCAATGCAAAGGCTGTTGCTTATTCGTACATGCACAATGAAGGTATTCAGTAAAACCGTTTTTGAAAACATACAGTTATTATCTTGTTTTCTTTCTCTGGTGAGCTGGAGAGCAGCCTATGAAAGTAGAAAATTGAGTCTGTGATACACAAGAATTTTCTCTGTTTAGAAGTTACTGTGGTGTCAATAAGAGAGAGTCCTAAAAGCCTTTTCTGTAGTATTTAACAAACACTACCTCTTCCTCCAGAAACCTGAGCTGTGAGAGGCATACAAATCACTTAGGCTTCAGCCCCTTTCAAATGCTCGTTTTCTGTCTGTGATGTTCTTCTAACAGCAAAGTTGGAAAAGTATCTGTGAAACTTGCAAGTTGAAGGATAGAGATATCATTTTCTTAATAAAAAAAGAAACATGGAACATTTACATCGCTAATAGGAACAGCAGCAATTGTATTAACAAGAATAAAATATGTAAGGAATTAAATAGTTTTGCTTTACGACAAAGGATGAAGGCAATAACAACCTGTGAGCTCATAATTTACCCACGTAGCAGTGCGAGATGTATGCCCAGATGGTTTACCCAGCTTCTTGGTTAGGTCTGCCATCCTGCTTCTAACTATGCAGCTGTAAGAATGTATATTAATTTGGTAATTTGTATGTCTGATATTGAATGTATGAATTTGCTGTCAGCACGTGTTGTGCTTAGGTCTTTGAGTCCACCAGACTAGGCCAAAAGGGAGTTGACCTTGGGATAATTATTACTGAGTGACATGGTAGGGTTGTTCTGAATTGAAGGGACTAAACACTGAGCTCTAGCCAATACTGTAAGCCATTGAATCACTCATATTATTAATGAAAGAAACTTTGAAATTATGGATACATTTTGGAAATTAATATGAGATGGAGTTGCCAACATTTAACTGTAGAAGATTAAAAGTGTTAGAGGACTTATTTTCTGTCAACCCTGTGTTGCCTGCAGTTAACTAAATGATCGCTTAAAAACTTGTGGATTATCATCGTAGCAGTAAAAAATCACATCTACCATTACCATTGGGCTAAGGACAGGTATGCCAGTTTGTGCTTATTAAGATTCCATGGCAGTGATATGTGGAGTGTTAACAAGCTTATTTTAATGTATATTTATTAAACAGTAATATAAGACTTAAACTGATGGTAAAACTGTCACCATGTTTTACTGAACATAACATAAAGCTATGTAGGAAATGGGGGAGGAGGTGGAGGGTGTATTCCAATGATTTTTTTTATTATTTTGGTATATTAAAACTTCTGTATGTTTAATACAGAAAATGTCTTTCCTTCCCTTAGGCCCAAGAATTAATATTATAAGAAAATCTGCTGCTTGGGGCTTAGGATAACTAGGTTTTAATATACTCGTATGTGAAATGTTGGTCTTTTAGTTTGGGATTTGTTGTTAATGGGTTCTATATTAAACTGGTGTCTTGATCTTATCCTTGCCTAGGAATTCACGGATAAAAAGTGACTTAAATCTGGTCAGTGCCCTCAGCTAACATAAAAATTGGTATGAGTTCAGATACAATCTCTATATTTTTGTGTATATTCACTTTTAAATCATGTTTGAATATGTGATCAAAGAAAGGAAATGAGAGGAGGAGATGGAAACAAACCATCACTTCTTTAAGTCTTAGGAATCATGAGTCTCAGGTAAAAGTGGAAAGGAAAAAGATTCACAATAGAGAATCTGATTAAAAGGTCTGTTTTAGATTGCTGTGTAAGCAGGAAATGATGAATCTTGGCAGAGTCTCAACTATGAAACAAAGCAGCAAAGAAAGCTCCTGCTGATGCTTTGGATAGACAGGAGGAAAAAGAGGACCCATAAAATAGGAAATTGCAGGCATATTTCATTTTGGCAGAGCCTGAGAAATTGGTTAGCATCACTACCACTGCATGAGCACTGTTTTTCTGAAGAAAAACAGGAGAAGGTTAATTCTCTAATAGGCTGAAAATAAAACCAGTGACTTGAGTGTTAGCATAACACATAACCTCTTTGTCCTCTGTCTGAATAGACGTAATTTAAAGGGGAAAATCACATACTTATTGTTAGAAGTAAAAGGCTCAGCATGTCTCTTGGGTTTACAGTTAAGTTTAGCAGCTAATATGCCTAATCCAGTTGAATCATCGTCCTTACAACTGAAGGGCCACTCAATTAAATATATGCTTTTACATTTATTAATGGTTAATTATTTCTTTTTTTCTCTCTACTTTTAAGAAAAAAATAAGGTGGTATGCAGATTATTCTTTTGATTATTATATAGTATATATAGAGTAATGCTATAGAGTAAGGAAATTCTAGACATTCGCAAAAGGGTAGTCGGTGACTCCCCGTAACTTCAAGCCAACTCCAGAGCTTGCTGATACCAAAGGAAGAACTGCAAACAGTGGGAGATGGCAGAGTTATAAAACTCTAAAAATATTTATTATTATTTATTTTCTGTTCTCATCACATGTGAGGATTCAAACTGTTTATATTCAGAATCAGCCAATGAGCAATGTTGTTAATCTGTTGTTAGGACAGCAAGCTTCTTGCCTAAAAGACCTGATACAAAGTGAGGCACACTTGAAATATACCTGAAAATATAGTTGTAAAATATTCATTTGTCACCTTGATGGCATTTGCTACAGATAAATGCTCCTCTTCCATATGCTGTGCTTATTTCATGATTTGTTACTGAATGCAATCTTTTCTGAAGTGCTTCTTTCAATCTATACTGGATGAAAATGACTGAATTTTGTCTTTTCACAGCCCTTATATGAAAATGAAGCAATTTTAGTGCTTGTTTGACATATTCAAATGAAAATATCCTTGCAAATGAAAGTATCCAGAGAAATACCTTAGGTCTAGGAACTATAATTTCCTTCCTGCTTGCTAGGGGTGACATTTGTTGACATCCACACTTTGCAGAAACTGCGATCTTTCATCATTCTAAGAAAAACGAGGATGAATGGTTCTACTGCATTATGCAGGAGTGCTGGCTTAAGATAAAACTCTGAAGTGCATGGAACCTCTTCTTATGTTTTCTCGGTGAACTGTATTTGTAGCTTTAGATTAGCACTTCATTAAATAGTACCCAAAGTCTTGGAAACTGCAGTTACAGTTAGCAAGATTTTAGAAGAATGACAAATACAACAAAAGTCAGTATTCTTACTGAATGCTATGTTGGAATTTTCCTAGTAAATCATAAACATCATGTATGTGTGTACTGGAAAGAGATTTAAAATATATGCAGGAAATTTTAAAGCAGTGGAATTGGGATTTTTGACACGGGAGATAAACAGTGAACGAACCTTAGGAAAGTTCCATTTTCATCTACAGTCTCTCAGATGTTAAATACTTATTTGTTACCCTATACGTAAGTGCTCTGTCTACCTGCAGAATAAACATGAACAAACTTGTAAGTCTTTCTGCTTTACTGTGAGGCAGTTGAAGTAAAATGTATGAAGGAGAAAGGGTTGTATGAATGTTTGGTGTGAGCCATGAGATGAACCAAAGCATTCAAAGAAGCTTGGCCTTCCTGAGCATAAGCCTAAAATGTAGTTGGTGTCCAGTCATATAATGGCTCTGCCACCTACCTCTAAAGCCAGACCAGCCCCTATAGCCCTACTGCTGCCTTCTAACCTACTACTTAGGGCCTACTGCTGCATTCAAACCTGGGTGCTGTTTGTAAAAGCATTTTGGTCAAAATACTTTTTTGCTAGAAAACCTTTGCGTTTCAGAAATGCAGAAGACAAACATGCAGAGTTTTCCAGATAGAGGACATGAGTTTTGGTTTATCCAGTCAAACCCCAGCTTTCATAGGAAACTGGTATATGATTTTTTTTTTGCCTGGAGCAGCCTTTGGTTGTGTCAGCATCGCAAACAACTAAAATACTTTTAGCAATGGAGTTATCAATTTTTCATTTCTTCATGTTTATATTTTATGAAAAATTTCATGCTGAAAACTGAGAAACTTTCTGCTTGTGCATTAGCCTTTTCTCCCATTCTTGCACTGGCCAGTATGACCCTTTCCCCCAAAGGCATAAGTAATCTCTGGTTAGTCCAAAATTCTCTACGTGGCTAACTACCAGCCTTCGTATCTCTCTTTTCCCACCCAAAGTTCACACACAACAGGAATGTTTCCTATAGTCACAACAAGAGTCTGGCAAGCTTTAATGAGGCATTTAATTTTTTTCTTCTTCTGAATTGTTTCTGACTGTTTCTGTACAGTAACTGTGATCTGCTAAATCTAAGGG